CTCTGAACGAAGCGCGGAGACCGCCCTCTCTCCCTCCCGGGGCTCCAATAGTGGCTCTGGGCCAGCCCTGGCCGGGGCGGGGAGGCTGGGGGGAGATCAGGGTGGCTGCAGGGAGGTTGATGCATCAGGTCCCCTTCCCCCTGTCCACCAGGCTCCAAGCAGCTGTGTGACAATGGCTTGTGCTACAGCCATCTTCCACCCACCTCTCCCCCCACCCTGTGCTCTCCCCTTCTCATCCCATCTGCTAGGCCTGGGCCCACTGGGACGGTAATTGCCTGCCGGCCCCAGAGCTGGCCTCGAGGGGGATCCAGGTCATGAGAGTCCTTTGGTTTTGCTTGACGGTAGGATCAGCTGGAGGAGGGAGCCCTAATCCCAAAGATATTCTGTACCACCTGCACCAAAGTCATTCGGTGGCTCCAGTCCACAGTGGGGGAGGATGCTGACGAGGTGAGACCCCAGCATGGTGGGGGTGACAGCAGGGACAGGGGCAGATGGGAGGAGGCAACAGAGCCCTGGGTGCCCTCACACCTTCACAGAGCTGTGGCTCACATCTGGGCTGTCCCGCCTGCCCCCAGACCACCATCGAGAAGGCCGTGAAGAGGGTGTGCAGGATGCTGGGCAAGCACCTGGGCCGGGCATGCACATCACTGGTGAAGAAATACAGGGACAAGATTATCAATGCAGTGCAGAGTGACAGTGATCCCCAGATCACTTGCAGGAAACTGAGGCTGTGCTCGGGCTCCCAGGAACTGCTAGGTGAGAGCATGCCCACAGCTGCCCTGGGACAGGGAGGGAGGGGGCAGAACAGCCCAGCTATGATGTGAACCTCTTGATCTCCCTCACAGATGACCTGAGCTGATGCATTCCCTGGAGGAGGCCCAGCTGGTGCCCACCCTCCCCACTGCTGCAGACTGCCTGGGGAGCTCAAAGCATCGCAGCAGGCCTCAAAGCATCACAGTGGACAACTCAGTAGGTAGTACCTGGCTTTGCCAGGCTGGGGAGGGACAGACTAAAACCCGCTGCTGGGCCTGGGCCCTGCCTGCTGTTTGGGGGCTGTGGGAGGGGTCTCTGGTCTCAGCATTCATGGCAACTGCCATCCCAGCAGGGGTGCATGGCAGCATCCATGTCTCCCTCACATCAAGCTCTCTTCCCACACAGACAGCTGAACGCTGATGCAACCTCTTCCAGCAGCATGTGCTTTGCATCACCCATCTCCAGCAGCTTCGTTGACCATCTAGGCTGCCTCCGAAGCTGGTAACACAGCCCCAGAGAGGCTGGGGGGTGCCCCCAGCTGGACCTGCCCCTCCTTCCCCTGCCTCTGGCTTCCTCAGCAATAAAGCACCATAGGCAATGCACCTCTGGCTTCCTGCCTATATCCTGCTGGGCTCTTATGGGGTCACTGAGCACAGCAGAGCCCCTGACCCTCTTCACACCTTCCCTGCCCCTCTCTAGGCACTGCAACCACCCCGGAGCTGGGCATGAGGGCTGTGCCAGGGACTGTCCTGCAGCCAGCTGGGCACAGCACACAGAGGAGCCTGCTTGGAGCTGTGCCATGGCAGAGCCACAGCTCCTGCGGCTGGGATGATTGCTGTAGTTTTGGTCACAGACCCTGCCTTCCTCCCCATTGGCCACAGAGGGAGACCCCCCCCCCACTCCCATAAGTCCCAAACAGAGTCTGGCTTTTCTGAGTGGCTCGGGAGTTTATTTCAGCGGCCGTGGGTATGGGGCGTGAGCGGGCGGCCCTGCTCCTCAGTCTTCCTTCTCGTCGCCATGGGTGATGATGTAGCACAGGGATTTGTAGTCGATGTTGCCAGAGACGTCGATGGGCGTCACCGCGAACATGTGCTCCACCTGGCGGAGGGTAGGGGTGAGTCTCAGCAGGGCCCGGGCAAACGCACATGCATGCTTCTGCCCCGCAACACCAACTCACACTGACACACACATGTATGTGCACAGGCACAAATGCATACACACAACACAGCTCTGTTATGGGGAACTCCGTGACACACATGCACACACATGTGCCAGTCCTTCCTCCCTCCCTCTCTGTCCACGTCTTCCAGCCCAGGCTCAGGCCTCACAGAAGATCTGTGCCATGGGCTGCCTGACCCACAGATACATGGCATTGGCCGTGCTCTGCCCTTCCAGGATATGTGCAGATGCTGCCCTGCCCCACGCCTGCCTGGCATTGGCCTCCCTTGGCTCCACACTCCCTCTTGCCCAGCCTGTTGGGTCCTGTTGGTGGTGCTGGGGAGGGAGGTACCACACCCAGGGGAGCTCTGTGCAGCACCCAGGCCCTCTCCATGTACCTGCTCCACTCCTACTCCCCCAGATAGGGCCCAGGAATCATCTCTCCTGCTGCCCCTCTCCTCCTGCTCTACCGAGCTGTGGTTGGTAAACAGGACTCCTGGGTTCTTCCCTGACTCTGCCCGGGACTTGCCGTGTGCCTCAGTTGCCCCATTTCTCTGGTGGGGGTGGAACAGCTGGCCTGGGTCCTCAGGGCAAGGGAACATGACCAAGGGACCTCTAAAGTGTCCAGTGCACCTGGGAAGAGGCTGGAGTGGCCTGGAGAGATCACAGGGAATAGAAACCAGCAGTGCAATTCAGGCTTTGGGAACTGAACCAGCACCACCAAGGACAGCTCTAACAGCTAGGTATATTTGCAACTGAGCAAAATGGGAACAGCCAACATGGCTACTTACTATAGTGCCAGAGTAGTAGGAGGCACAGTAGGAGGGGAACACAGTGACACAGGGAAATGGGGTGTCCAAACAAAAACCCTATTGCCCCAAGCGGGAGCACACATCCTGGCAGATTCACAAGTCCCCTGGCCACCCAAACCCATGGGTGAAACAAAGACACTAGCTTTGCGGCCCATCATTTCTTCTCTCTCACTTCTCCTTCTGCCCACTGAATCCAGCTGACGATCAGCACTGGATGCAGCGAACTTGTTCACTGGCGTGGCGTCGTGTTGTAAAGTTGAAGCTGACCTCGTACAGCTGAAACAGGGTGTCAGTTTATGACCATTGTAAGGGCAAAACCTTGTAACTCAAAACATAAGTCAAGGACTGCCTGTATGTGCACAGGCACACACACAACACCGCTGTCATAGGGAGCTCCATCACACAGACATGTGCCAGTCCTTCCTCCTTCCCTCTGCCCACGCTCAGGGCCCACAGAAGATCTCTGCCACGGGCTGCCTAACCCACATGGATAGGTGGCATTGGCCGTGATCTCCCTGTCGGGCTGTGCGCACAGACACTGCCCTGCACCTCTACCCCTCACCTGCCTGGCATTGGCCTCCCTTGGCTCCACACTCCTTCTTGCCCAGCCCGATGGCCTCCATCGGTGGTGCCGGGGAGGGAGGTGCCACACCCAGGGGAGCTCTGTGCAGCACCCAGGCCCTCTCCATGTACCTGCTCCACTCCTACTCCCCCAGATAGGGCCCAGGGATCATCACTCCTGCTGCCCCTCTCCTCCAGCTTTCCAGAGCAGTGGTTGGCATCAGGACTCCTGGGTTCTTCCCTGACTCTGCCCGGGACTTGCCGTGTGCCTCAGTTGCCCCATTTCTCTGGTGGGGGTGGAACAGCTGGCCTGGTTCCCCAGGGCAAGGGAACATGACCAAGGGACCTTTAAAGCATCCAGTGTGTTCAAGCCCCTCATCCTACGCCCTGTAAATAACAGGTGAAGTGAGCCACAAGCCATCTAGTTCAAAGCATCTGCAGCAGCTGACAGGGACGGAGCTCGCCCAGCCAGGGGAAGGAACCCCTGGAGGGTGCAGAAAGCCTATCCGGGTTGCTGCAGTCATGCTGGGTCAGGAGCAAGGGTGGCCTCACTTCTGGGGAGAACTTGTCAATTTGGGTCAGCAGGAGCTGCTTGAACCTGCCAAGGAAACAGGAGGTGGGTGAAAAGGCATAGAGTCCCCCAAGGCTGGTCACTGGAGAGGCCTTATGCTGCTCAGGCTGCCGTGAGGCCCCTCTGAGCCTGGCCCTGACAGTGGAGACCCCCAGGGCTGCCTGTCAGTGGTGCCAAGCAAACCCAGAGCAGTGGGTTCCCACCCCCACAGGGCACCAGGCCCAAAGGGGCCTAATTGAGAGGCTGCGTGGTACCAACCTAGCCCTTCCCCTTGGCCCCCGACTCACTCGTTCTTGTTCACCGTGCCAGTGCCATTGGGGTCAAAGAGCTTGAAGGCGTTGAGGATGGATTCCCCCGGGTCCGTGCCTGCAGGGGCCCATGCCAGTGGCTCAGATGGGGGTCCTGGGGTGAAGGGGGGCATCCTCCCAGCTCTCCCATGCCCTGCTCCTCTTTGCAGGACCTTATGCTCCTAGCCCTGCCCTCAGTGTGCCTGGCCAAGCCCAGGGGTGCTGGGGACCTCCCCACAAATGCTGTCTCAGGGCAAAGCCAGTCCCCTTGCTGGGTAGGTGGGTGCCTGGGATGCCTCGGGGCAGGAGGCCTAGGCAAAGTGGCAGGATAATACCTGGCAGGGAGGGAGTGGGGATTGTTTTGCAGCTTTGATTCACCCAGGGCATCTCCCAGCCCTGTAGGCAGGGGAAATTGCCCCCAGCTAGGCCTGGTTCCCTGGGTTGCCTGGGGCCCAGGACTCCCACCTGTGCCCAGCAGGCCTCTCAGTGCCCAGGAAGCTGCCCAACAGACACGGGCATTTGCCCAGCTTGGGGCAGCTGCATCCTGGTTCCAGGCTTCCCAGGACCTGTTTCCAGTGCCCCAGTCTCTGCTTGCCTGGTCCTACTGCCCAGGGGTTACAGCCCTGCCCTGCACAGAGCGTGCTCAGCCCCAGCAGCAGACAGTGGCTATCGGGGATCACCGTCAGAGGCTGAGGAGGCCACATGGCTCCTGCTGGCCCCTGCCAGGCTGCAGCTGACTCACCATTGAGCTTCTCTCCAAACAGCGACAAGAAAACCATGAAGTTGATGGGTCCCTTGCCTTCAGCATCCCCTCCAGCTCCTCGTCCTTCATGTTCAGTTTCCCTGAAGGGAAGGAGACCAGTTCCCTGGAGGATGGGTGGGGGGAGCATTGGGGAAATGGTGCCCCTGTGTCCCGGTGCAGCGGAGGCCCTAGTGGGGGGAACCAATCAGGGCCCAGGGAATCCTGCCCCTAATGGGACAGAGCCAACTAGAGTGTGGAGAATCCCACCACTACAGGGGAGAGCCAATTGGAGCACAAGGAATCCAGTTGTGTCAGAACCAATTAAAATATTGGGAATCCTGCGACTGCAAGGCTCCCAAGATCAGCCAATCAGAGCATGGTGAATCCTGCTGTTGTTTCATTAAGGCCAATCAGACCCTGCTGTGTCTGAACCAATCAGCAGATCAGGAAAACCAGTAGTACGGGGTCTGCTTATTGGAGTGCAGGAAATCCTGCTGGTCCCCAAGACTCGGAGCCAATCAGAGCACTGAGTGCAATGCAATGGTAATAAACCATTAGCATGGCAGGCAGCACTACGGGGCAGGGCATGGGCTGAGCTGAGGGGCTCTCAGCCCCCTTCCTTGTGCACAGGAAGATTGATGGCCCGAGAACAGAGGCTAATCTTGTGTGAGCACTGGGAAAACAACCGCTCTCGCTCTTTGCTGGGCTCTGCACATTTTCTGGGCAGCAAACACTGCCAGTGTGTTAGCCAGCCACCCCCTGGCTCAGGCCTCAGCTTTGGGGCAGGAAAAAGGGGGGGTTTCGGGAGGCAGGGAGAGACCCCCTCTGAGCTCCCACTGACAGGAGACAGAGCGACAGGCCCCCATGGCAGGGAGAAGCGCGGTCCGAAAGCAGGGAGCAGCGAGGTGTCAGCTGCTCTTGTCTGGCTTGGTGTCAGCTATGAAACTATGAGGTGAACTGTATCTGCCATATTCCTTACAGCTGCTGACCGGGGTTAAGTGAAGTCTCATCCACCACACGGTCGTACTCCAGGAGGAACTCGTCCAGCTCCCCCGAGGCCCCAAAGGTGCCCCACTCAGTGTTCACGTACATCTGGCCCTCGTCACCCTCCACGAGGAGATGTGGCGGCATTGCAGCCCATCCCTGCCAGGGGGAAAGAGAGAATGTGCTAGTCACATGGGGTAAGGGGGTGAGATGCAGTCATGCCTGCCTCTGGCTGCATCTTGGCTGTGTCTAGGCTGGAGAGGCAGCAGCCATGCACACACACGTGTGTATGCACATGTGGCCACCTGCCCCCCCTCGGCGCTGCCCAGCCATGTAGACTCCTCTGCATGACCCTGCTTTCTGAGTCCTGACTCTGCTGCCCAGCTCCCTTCCTGCCCACTGCCCTGGGGAGCCTCCAGAAGCAATGGCCTGTAGCACCAGGCAGGATTGGGACCCTCTATGCCAAGGTGGCCCTGGCACC